CCAGCCATTAAGTTTCACATCTAAGTTTGGGAGCACCCGTGCATTAGATATTCATTGCCTTTCAGATGCTGAGTGTTGGGTGTATGAACTGAGGTTACCTGGGAGAGAGGACACTCCTTGGCCAGCGTGCTTTGGTTGGTCTCTCTGAGCAGCTCTTTGAGGGCGTTCCTCACTGTAGCGTGGGTCCACTGCTCTGATGGCAGCTCCTCAAGCCGGGCAAAGCTGCACAGGTGAAAATCTTTATTAGATTAACCTTTCATTCTTTAAAGCAGGGTTGTAGGAGGCTGCCACATTGGTCAAATCAACCAACAAACTGCTAGAATCTCTCAGTTATCAAACAGAAAGAAGCATTTTGTTGTCACACACGCACACACAGAGCTGACCTGTACAGTAGGATCCGCAGTGTGACCATGTGGTAGACATCCAGCAGCATGTCGGCCACTGTGGCCTCTGGAGCATCTGTTAGGTAGTGGATGGGCATTGGTTTCCACCGGCCCACTTTAATGATGCCTGGAGAACACAAACAAACACAGAACAAATACACAATTAAAGCGTATGTTCATTGTCAGTTTAAAAGTCTGGATTTAAAAAAAGAATATTAGAAATACTTCTGTATACACACACACACTAATAATTGTCACGCTCTTGCTTTTTCTTATTAATATAAAGGCTAACCTGCTTGTTTGTGAGTGTGAGTGTGAGTGTGAGTGCAAGTGTGTGTATGTGTTGTTTATGTTGGGGAGCTCTCCCGGTCTCAGAGCATCACCCTGGGTTCAACATTCCCCTGGCCTCCTTTACAACCGTGACTGGAAGTGCAAATCTAAACAGGCCTAATCGCGTTAAGATCTGCTAAATCAAACACAGACCCTGCCTGGCCTTGGCCTGCCAGCCTCAGTCATGTGTGTGTGTCTTCATTGCATGAGGATGGTGGTGATAGGGGCAAAAGAACAAAGGCTGTTCTCTTGGGACCCTACAGTTGATTAATCAGAGGAGAAATGTAAAATCAGCTCAACATTAAAGAGTGAAGCAGGCTGTGAATGAGAGCGGCGTTTTGATGTTGATGTACTGAATACAGACTGAGCTCATTGTTCTGTCTGACAACACAATATTTCCCATCATAACTGGTAACAGGTATTATGTGTCCTGCAGCCGACTTTGTTTTAGAACTGATTGTTAATACTTTGACGTGTCATCAGCTGCTTACTGATATCAATTTGCACACATACGTGAACATTTTAAACATTGTGCATAAATAAACAGTAACTACACAGGTATGTTGTCAGTGTAGAATATTGCGGGATTAAACAGGGCTTCATCAAATCTTATTTAACCAAACACACACTTGTCTCTTCACAGAAATGGCCAACAATATGGTTTTAGGTTTATCTCAGATATAGCAGTATGTGCTTTCATGTTGGCCACTGAGTAACGCATATGGCTGTACAAAAATGTCAAAGAATTGTTTGAGGTACTTTAGAAAGAGAGTCTCCATAACATTGTTAAGTACATATGCTGGGCACAATTCTTTAATTACATTTTATATTGAACGTAACTGATATTGTTAAATTTTTTTACAGTTTTTTAATAAACAAAAGGTTGTTGTAGCCTAAGCTATATAAATCTAGTGTGTAACATTGAGGAGGATCTATTGGTGGAAATGGAATATAATATTCATAGGTATGGTTTCATTAGTGTATAATCACCTGAAAATAGGAATTGTGCTTTGGTTACCTCAGAATGAGCCGTTTTTATATAGACACACACACACCGTGGGTTGCCTTCCATGGATGGACGTCAAGTAAACTATTGATGAACCTCAGTTGCAAAGTTCCTGGAAAACTCAGGGTGTATATTATAAACATGTTTAAAATAATATGGTTGAAAGATATCGATTTAATATGTTTCTTAAAATAAGGTTTGGGTTGTTTCTGCGATCCTCTAGTGGTTTGCAAGCCTTCAAATACGGTCGATTGTTATTTTTAAATGAGTAATATCAGAGAAAGCTTCCAAAAACATGGCCTTTTTGCTTAGCAATTCACCTAAGCCCATGTTTAATCCAGGGCAGTAACCATATACTCTAAATAAGAAATAGCTTCTTTTTAATTAGCCATAATGTGCAAGTTAATTAAAGAAAACCCCCTGTGCCAGTTAAGAGTTTAAAAATACTTGTCCAGCCAAAGTTATGCAAGATGCAATTCAATCGCAGAAGAAAATAGAAGAGTCTCTGTATAATTTTGGTTGTGACCACACTGGGGGAAAAAATGCATGACTCCAGCCAAAAATTATTTATTTGAAAAGAAAAGGCTTATTTCTCAGAACAAAACCTAGCCATTTGGGAGAGGCGAGGGGGGTCGCAGGGCGTCGGCCACTTGGTTAGAGTGCCCTGTGTTTACGGGACACACCAGGAATGTCAAACTGCCCTACTCTGTGTGTGTGAAGGCTGTTGTTTCATGGTTGACTGGATGTTGTCTGCCTCCTTGTTTTGATCTCAAAATGATGAGAAAATAGTTTTGGTGCTGGTCTTAGACACACAGATACAGACGGGTAAACTGAATCACATCAGGAGATAAATGTTGGAGAAATCAGGCAGGTTTATCTTTAAAATACCTTCTTGGTAAATACCTTTCCTGTGATCGTATAGTTTTGGGCACTCGTTTGTACCCATGCGGCAAACCCCACCCATCTGGAAACCAGTTATGCTTTATCCATTTATGCTGCTGCTGGAAATAATTAATTACTCATCAATTACCAAACAAAGTGGTAAGAAAAGACTGAAACATGAGATGTTTTCCATTATTGTGTAATAATGGAAAAGTTTAGAAACCTACGTTCCCCCAGATGTGATGTAAAGAGGCAGAGGCTGATGAGGGTCAACAATATTAGTTTGAAGAAAAAATATGTAGTTGTCAATATCTATGACCTGCACAAAAACAGGGATGTGACATCACTGAAGCTTGGATTTGGGTTCACTGCTCTGCTCTCCCTCATCCTGATGCCAGGAAATCCAAATTTTGTCAAAGTGGAGGACGCCTGGGTGGAGCTGAGCAGGAAACCACCCTAGCTGTCAATCAAGCAAATATGCTTTAAAATACACTTCTCTTTAAGCCTTAATGTCTGCTTAAGGGAACAATGATTCTCAATGTTGCTACCACATAACATTAAATGATCTGTATCTAAATTATGGGACCAGATTTATTCTGGATTAAAGTTACTGAATTGTGCCATTCACGTTAACACTGTCAGTTCTGCAGTGTAGCCATTTTTTAAAGTGTATATAAAGTAATATTTGAATTGTTAGGCAGTTGGAAGATATTTGTTGTCATAGGACGTCTTTCCAAACAGGATTTCTTGTATTCGGAACTATAAGTACAGTGCATTCTCTTGCTAGTACGGCTGAGATGTGGGGCTAATGAGGTGGATTTTACGCAGGGATAAACTGAACTTAAACATAAACTGAATCCAGAGGAAGGAATTTCTGAAAAGACACAATAAAAGATGCATCATGTCAGCACTAAAGAGCGCCGTTTCCTGCAGATCAGTCCTTCAGTCATGTGGGGTGTGGTCATAACAGAACGCATTGCACACAGCTTCGGTCATTAGCTGTCTAATTTATGTGATTGAGAGAATTAGACAAGTTAGTTTTTAGGGATAGTCCACTTGGTTGCGAAGGTTTGAATCAGAAAAGCAGATGAATGTCAGTTTGTGTGAGCTATTTTCACTGAAAGGAAGAGCACCTGAATATGAATACATTGATTTGAACATGCACCTGCACACACCCAGACTCTACTTACCACTTGCCTGTACAGCTGAGCTGTGAGAGTATCCCAGAGCGACCAGTGCTGTCTCTACCAGCTGTGTGAAGAGGACGTCCTTACGAACCAACACAAACTCAGCGTGACGGTCGCTGTGCCCCTCACAGTCACCGGCTACGCCCACATCTGCATGCTCCACCACACAGTAGACCGGGATCATCAAACCTGGCAGACAAACACAGACAGTTACAGAAGAACAGGGTTGAGCTCCATTGGGACTAGTCTCTGGTGTGCAGTCTGTCCCAGACAGGAAGGGGGGGGGG